GTCCGTATGCTCACCAGCTGGCTGAGGGCGGAATTCATCCGACCGCTCCTCTGCCAATGATTACTATTTTCTGTCTTTTCTTGCGGCCCCTGTCTGGGATGCCTTTCTCTTCTTGCCGCCTGCTTCTTGAACAGGCGCACTCTCCTTGACATTGTCAAGGTCTATTTTTCCACCGCTCGACATAGTGGCCAGAACAGTGGGCTTGACATCCGAGAGATAGCACTCTCGGGCCATCCTCTGATCTCCCCTTAGGGACCCGACTGTTCCATTATCCCTCTCAAACTTGAGCAACATAAGAGATGGGATTATAACAGCCTTGGAATTATTCAGGGTTGGTCGTCCCAGAATCATGTTGTAGGCCGAGAGTTCTTATACTACCAGGAACCGGACTACCATGTGTCGTCCTTCCCCTTTTTCGTCCAGGCGGATGGGTAAATCCACTCGTCCCATTGGGTGGACGACTCCTCCTCCAAACCCTACTAAAGGGTGGGATGCCGGATGTATGCAATCAGTCTGATATTTTAGTTTCGACAGACATTTGCTACTGATGAGATCTGAGGAGCTTCCGGTATCTATGAGGATTCGGCCAACTCTCTGGTTGGCCACTTTACATTCAATAACGATAGGGTCGTCATGCGGCCCTCTTACCCCTCCTAGATCTTCTTCAGTGATGACAATCTCAGGAAATGAATATTTGGAGGGCCGTTCTTGGTGAACGGAATTTACATCTAACCGTCTGATATTGTCTTTGTTGCCCCTAATAGTGGGCCGCCTCCTGAGAAGCCGCCTGCAATGGTGTAGAAGACTGCATCATCTGTATCGAAGCTGTCGGCCTGTTGATTTTTTTTGGTCGACTGCTTTTTCGAGGAAGTGTTCCCCGTAGATTTCTTGACATAAGTGTCAAGGTCACCTTGCTCAGCCAGGTGGTCCAGATACCGCATGAGAGTGATGCGTTCATTGGTGTGATGACCAACATCTTCATGATAATCACATAATTTTTCTTGGTTCCGATTGTTTGCAGAACCCTTCATGGGGACCGGCTTCTCAATTGAGATCCGTCCCTTGATTTCCTTTAGGATAAATTGGCTATCCTTGTTAAACACATACTTTGGGGAGTATGGTTTGAATTATTTTTTCTTCTTCTAGGACGGTTGTTTAGAGGAATCAGTTGCCCAGACCTCTTTTCTCTTCTCGTCTTTGTTTGACGACTGCTTCTGTCGTCCTTCTCTTTTGTCGGACCTTTTCCCGTCTGACTGTTTTACCGTACTACAAAGATCAGTCGCCTGTATATAGGCTTCCGCTTCAATCAAGGCCTCTTGAAGAGTCGCCACCCTCTTTCGGACCAAATCAAATTTGAAGGTCGACCCGTCTTTGAGACGTCTGAAAAAGTCAGTATAGGCTACTTCATCCGGTAACCCTTGAATCTATATTCTCATCAGGTTAAATCGCCTGATGTAAGAACGAAGCCCCTCCTTCTCGCCCTGCTGAATTGTTCCTAAATCAAGGGTCGTCTTCTTCGCAGGGATGTTCATGGCGAAGTTGGAGGTGAACAAGTAAGCAAGCGTCTTGAAGTTATTTACACAACCAGTCGGCAGGTTGCCAAACCATTGTTGTGCGATTCCTTTGAGAGTCGCTGGGAAACACTTGCACCAAGTGGGATCATCCAACCCTTGAAGGTACATCAGGTTGGTGAATGCCATCAGATGGTCTTCTAGGTTAGTAGTGCCGTCATAGGCGCCTACTAATACATTTTTCACTTTGGCCGGCTGAGCGGCTTCAGTAATTTCTTTGGAGAAGGCCGACGGCTGTTCACCAAGTCTAAGCAACCGTAGCTGCCAGTCCATAGGTTGGACATTTTTTGCTGCATGTCCACCAAACGGAGGTGGCTGTAAAAAATACTATTGTTGCGGTACAAACGGTAAGTTTGGTACCGCCTGGTCGCTATGAAAGCCGGACTGACGGGAGGTGCCGCCTGACTGACTCTCATGATACGACTGAGTATGCCTCATCGAGGTATTTCGCAGACTGTCTTGGAAGTTTGAAGGAGTGGCCGACGCTGACAATCGGTCACTCTTCTTCTGCTCTAGCAGTAGCCGAGCGTCTGTGTATGTTTTCCTCGACCCGTCCGCCTGAATATGACGAACAGGTTTCCTATTTCCTGGAGTAGGAAAACGGTATTTTGTGAAATCAAGGGCAGGTGGCTCCCACTTCCTATATTTAGGATGAGGGGTCGCCTCTCGCCCTTGAACTGGCTTCCTCTTCCGTGAAGTGGAGGGTTTCTTAGCCGACTGCTCCTTGTCCAGAGCAGGCGGCTTCTTGTTGATCAACTCTTGAATTTCTCCCTTGAAGTCCCTCATGAAGGTCATGAGTTCGTTCCTTGTGATGGGAGCAGACCCATCAGTCGGCTGCTGCCGAAAAGGCGGAGCGTCTGCTGGCTCGCTTCCAGTTTGAAGATGTTCCCGTTCCCTCCTTTCGGTATGACGGGTACGTCGGGCCCTTAGGGTCCCGTCTGAAGCTGTGTGAGCTTCAACTTCAAATTCATTCTCAGTATCGTGGTCCGACTGAACTAGAGGATCGTCCAGGGGACGTCTCTCTTCAGGAGCCGGTACAAACGTGGGTGCCATCTCAGAAGTACTCTCCCCACAGACGGCGCCAAAATGTTTCGGGGTTTTCTGATGTCCTGCGGGAGAGTTACAATTCCGAGACTGGAACCGGACGCCTGTACCTGCAAAACAAACGGATGCTCCGGATGATTGGAGATCCGCCTCCGACGGTCAAGTTAGTACTTGATTAAGGAGTAGTTAATGCGGAAATTAAAGTGATTGGGTCTCTCTAGGTGAGAGTGTTTAATGTGTGTAATCTGCCTTCTCTCCCTTAATGAGGATTAAGGGAGGTATTTATAACCTCGGGAAACGTGCCAATCTAGGTTTAGGTTAACCTTGGGCTGATTGGGCTTCCCTCGGAAGTTGGGCCTAGGTGACCGGCTTCTCCATTAGGCATGGAGTATGCCACATGTCATGACATAATAAGTCCAGGGTGGACGAATAAGCGTGTGCCACGTGGCAAGCCCTGAGAGGTCCAACTGGGGGACACTTGGCAGGACCTGATTGGCCCACGTGGCGCATTCCGATTGGTGGGAGCAAAATCCCCTAATCAAATACAATTTAGAAAATATATTAATTTGAACAAAAAATCTCGTTATAAAAGTGAACATCTAATGATAATAAAATTGAACATTTACCAATACAAAAATGAACGTGTTATAAAAATTTACAGAAAAATTCATATATGAAAAAGGGCGGGGCGGGGCACTCGCGGAGGGTGGGGAGGTGTAGGCAGTGTTCCCTCCCCGGGGGTGTAGGTAAAAATATGTAGATATTATGTGTTTAACTGTTTCTAGTTGGCTCGATTTTCAACAATGTAAGATCCTTTGGGTCTAATCATTGCATTTGATGCATTTGGGTCCGTTATTAATCAAGATTAAACATGTATGGGCACATTTTAGGCCTAATTAGTAATCGGACTAGGCTCTAAGATAATTTGGTCTCAAATGTGGGTTTTAACTTACTTCATAATGCATTTCGAAGTCCATAAACACTCCAACTTTGTTCTACCATGAAGAACAGGTTTTTGTAACATCATCGCACTTCCCGTCGTGACAGGAGGCCAAAAGTAGGTGTCTACACTTAGTCAAAAGACGTAAAGATAGAGAAGGGGAATTGGTAAGAGAATTAGAGAAAAGCATAAATGTGGAGTTAGCCCGACCCCCTCGTTCTCGGTCAAAATGTAGAAGTGCAATAGATGAGGTCATAATAGTGCACTAGATGGAGCATAGAAAACAAAAATTAGACAAAGGTTTAGACAACGGGAATTGGTTGGATCTTAATAAAGGATGAATATGTACCTGTATAAGACATGCTGTACATACTAGGCAATTCAACACTCCAAGTGCGGGTTGAGCTATTGGTGATAGGGTTGTTCATCGATCTAAGACCGGGCCAGACTGAAAAACAAAAATTTGAATTTCAAGAAATCGGAGACCGGATCGCTTAAGCTAGGACCGGATCTGGACGGGACTGGAAAAGTTGGTCCATAACCCGGACCGAACTGGTTTAGACTGATTTTGCAAATCTTTTTGAAAATATTCAAAATTTTGAATAATTTTACGAAAACTCAAAAAGAAGTTTAAGGGGGATAGCAGTTTTTGACATCTTTGTAAGTTTAGTACAAAAAAGGTCATACGATTAAAGTTTTCTAAACTTGTTAAGGATAATTTTAATTATTATTTGAGGATTTATGTATAATTTTGAAGCAAAAAACCGGTCCGATTTGCAAACCAATTAATTCGGTACGACCTGGTCCATTTTTTTGTTCCGTACCAGTTTTTGAACACCCCTAATCTGTGATAAGAAGTGTCATTCAAGCGAGACAATCTTTCTCATTAAACATTAAGCTGCAAACTGATTGTAACGTGACCATAGAATCCTTAAACGACCTAAATAGGACTGATTTGGTAGCCAAGAGCCTTGTCCTAGACTTTAACCATCTATGCAATTCCTTGTCCTCTTTTTGCAGTTGACATGTTCCAAGAGTAATTTATAATAGAGCCCATAATTAAGGCATTTAGGCTAGATAAAGTGCCTAGTTCTCTTTATATTTTCATTATAGTTATTTTTTTAATAAGTAGAACATGCAGATTGAAAACTTACGATAAATAAAAGTATCATTAAAGCATTGACCTAGAAAGAATTAATGTTCTATTGTGCTTTATTTTTTTTTTTTTTTTTTTGACAAGACTTATTAAAATCATTAAGATAAACATAAGTCTATGGTGGATTCAATATTTATTAATCCAACAAAAAAATGTGACTTATTCCTTCTTTTATTCCAAAACTTCCTCTAGATGGTAACCTAATTACTCATCCATTTCAAAGAAATTAGAAAAAGGGCCAAAAGAAGAAGTATCCCACAATTGAGATTTGAGAACCGGCCTTACAATTAAGGCACCTACATCAACTATTCAGCTCCCAACGGCCCACTCGTTCAAACTACACATCATTTTCTTTTTCGACTCCAAACAAAAACCATTTCAATTCGTCAAACTCTCCATTAAATTCCAACTACCATCTTCCACGCTCTTTTCTTTACTCCTTGGTCTTCTTCTTCACTTGTATCTTGCTTCAAATTACCCTATCATCCAAACTACAATCATGGCTTCCAATTCATCTCTTATTTTCGCGGTATTCGCTATTTTGATCACCATTTTGCAACCCTCTCTTGCTGATACTGAACCTGATTTCTTGTCTCCCCTTCTTTCTCCTATTCTTGGTTCGTCTCTCTTTATTTTCTTATTAATTTTACTAACTCTCTTCGTCTCTAAAAGTTTTTTCTGTTTCAACAACTGCGACGAGAGTATTAATTGGATTTGATTTGATTTGACTTGATTTGTTTTGGCAGGTAATATATGTAAAACGGTGGGATGTGGAAAGGGCAAATGCAAGACTTTCGGAAATAATGATTTTGAGTATGAATGTGAATGTGATCCTGGTTGGAGGCAAACTCTTTCTTCCAATTTTTCTTCTGATTTCAACTTCAAGTTCCTGCCTTGCGTCATCCCTAACTGTTAGTTTTATCTTATCTCTCCTTTTTTTCCTCTGTTTTATTGAATGTGTCAAAAAAATTTGTTTCCCTGTAATATTTTGCACATGGGTGAAGCTTGTTTAACTTTGAAATTATATATTTGTATTTGTCTTGTACTAGGAAAATCTTTTTTGTATGAAGTTTAGTTAAAACTTAAAACTTTAGTGATTTTATTTGTAGTTAGGATTGCTATACCTTAAGAGCTAACAATACAAGTATTGAATATATATTATAAATTGATTTTAATTTATTGATGTATGAGAAAAATAACTCCTTGATTAATGTTTGATTATTTGTATATTTGTTTGATATACCAACTTATTAACCCTTTATTATGAGTTTTATATACATTTCCATTAAAAACCCCTTCATTCGCGCTGTGAAATAAAGTAGGATAAAGTAAGATAATATAAAAGGTAGGTGGGTTCGTAAAAAAAAAGGTTGAATAAAGTAAGAGAAAGAGTGAAAGGGTTAATTATTGTGGGATAAAGGCGTTAAATGGTAAAGCAAAAACGCCATAAAGAGAATAAAACAAAGTAAGTAAAACAAAAATGAACTGACTTAATTATAATAGAAAGTGATTAGGACATAGAATAATGAAGTTATATGGAGTATATGGCTAGTATCATTTAGTCATTTAGTTACACCCTATGTTTGATTGTATAGATACTTTCCAACTTATATTCCCTTCAATTCTTAGATCATTTTGTATTTTACTTAGTTCCGGTTTTGTAATTTTAAGGTTGGAATTAACCTCTAGAAATGAAGCGGGTTTTGAATTAGAACACAACTCTACAAAATTAAGTGTTTGTTTAGTTGACATATACAATCATAGAAGTTGAAACTCGTAAGTAGAAGTAGAGTTGTTTGGATGACAAATACAAGAGAAATTGCATTTTCTATGAAATTTTACGTCATAGAAAATGGAAATTTTTGCTTATCTACGTCTCTCTAGGCAAGTCTAACTTCCCATGAGGAGTTTAAATCTATATACTCTGTCGAACGACATTTTTCCATATCTAGGAAAAGAAACTACATGGGAATAGAAGGGGTAGTGATTGTGGAATGAAAGAAACTGATATGCATGTTCAATTGTGTAACATATGAGTACATAGTTATGCAAAATAGGCAAACTTGCTAGTCAGTACTGTAAAGAAAGTCATATGAAGTACTGCTTCAAATTTCAATTACCATTGCTTTTACTTAGTTTAATGTAAGTTAGCCAACGGCAATGGAGAAAGTCTTCTATGGAAGTATTATAGGATGTAGCAAATGATAAAAAAAAACAAGCACGAGCTCAAATACACAGTATTTAGTGTTATATATCTAATACTCAGTATTTCCTTTGTTCTCAGAATGTGAAACAGATTTGTATTGTTTATGCAACTATTAGTTTGACAAGAAGATTTTGATGGATGATGTACCTATTTCCAAGTAAAAGTTGTTATTTTGTAGAATTTGTGGCTGTTTTCGAGTAGGTTTCTTTTATACAACAAACAAGCTTGAGTAAATTGAGCAGATCATATGTCGTAGTATCCCTACTTACGTCCTGAGTTTGAAGCTTGCTACCCCTTGTTCCCCACCATTTTCCCTGGGCACTCTAATTTACCACTTTGACTGCATAGATATTATCTCAAAGCCTAATTTTCATGAAATTCTTCTGCTTATATAATAATGTCGATGCTGTTCACGAAATTTCTTACTACATGAAAATTCTGTTGACAATGATTTCATAAATTCTTAAACAAAGTTGATTTGCTTCTTACCTTTGTATATTTCTCGAAATATTGTTCATAAATATGGCCTAATTTACAGCATGATATGAGTCATATTACTGAATTGGAAAGTTAAAATCAGGCATTTTCTGCATAGATTTTAGGTAGTAGACTAACTTTTGTCTCCTTGTTATTCTTATTACTTTGAAGGCACACTTAATTATTCCTGCTCAGAAGTTGCTCCCTCACCTCAGTCATCAGAAACTCCATCAAATGCATCAATTTTTGAACGTAACTACAGCAATGCCTTCTACAAATTCTCAGATCATTTTTTTATATATATAATGTAGCTGATGCTTATTTGACAAAACTCTTCTTTGTTTGATAGCTTGTAGATGGGCTAATTGTGGTGAAGGTGTGTGCAATAAAACAACGGCGTTCTCATATACATGTAATTGTAAAGAAGGATACAGCAATCTCTTAAACAATACTGGTTTCCCCTGTTTCAAAGAATGTAAGAACAATCATTTTCTTGGTCAAATCTAACACTATATATATTTGTAGATGTAAAGATTGGTCTTCGCTTCGTCCATGGATGTTTTAGGCCTAGACTTTATTTCAACTTGTTCCAAAATATGAATGTTGATTTTTTACTTTCATATATAACTATTATGTATAGGCTCAATTGGTGGAGATTGTCCGAACTTGGGACTAGGAATGTCGAATAAAACAACCACTCCACCTCCTAGCATTGCTGATAGCAGAGGCAGCAATCAAGGTAAAGGCTTCCTTAATTTCTTGTAGAATTTCTTCATTGCATTAAACTGACATAATCAGTGTCCTAACCTCTTCAATGCTTTTTTGGTTTGTTCTTGTCATCACCCTCAGCATGGTCGCAGAAGCACGTCTTGTCCCAACCAATGATCCTACTGTTGATTTCAGTTGCTGTTCTTGCTCTTTAAAGTTTTGATTGCTCCCTTGAACTTGTTTAGAATAGAATGCAAACTACTGGCTAACATTAAAGGCATTTAGCCTCGGTTTGAAGGTACAAATATGTAGAACACGCGTATATTGGAAGTCGAAATGCATGTGTAGTTCCTATGGAGCTTCTAGGACGTGTATTGTATATTGATTTATCATCTGATTCTAAACTTGAGCATAGGTATCTTTAGTTTTGCCATCATTTCAGGATATTTGTTTGTAGTCTTTCGGACGTTTTAGGAATTGGCTTTTTTTGGCTTTTGTATCATTTGTTGCTGATTTTATTACCATGCCGTACTTAGCTGAAACAATAGGTGATTTCTACTCATTATGATTAAATGATAAAGTTGATTTAGCCAATTAGACGGCATTTTAATGACTTTAGTAGATACTGTAAGACAGAATTTAAGATGGATGAAAAGAAGTTTTAGAGACCACTTAAGTTAACCTTTTCAATTATTATTTCATTAAACTAATAGTTAAGATGCTCGATCTCAAATAAAAAAAAAAAAAAACATTTAGTAGAATAGAAAACAAGGGAAAATTTGATTTCAGTAACCTGACCTTTGGCTGATATTTTTCACTAGGTTGGATTATTTATATCAAATTAGCATTTTGGCCTATGCGATGCACGGGTTTATTAATATTAGTAGTAAAATTAAAAAGAAGAAGAAAAAACAAAAAAAAAATCACTCATAGCTAAAGGTGTTAATTCGGATAACCTGATGGAGTTGGGGTTGGGTTTATTCAAGTGGGGTTTGTTCGAGTCGGATATGTTCGGGTCAAAATTATTCTTTTAACTCGGATCGGGTCGGGTCGGGTTAAATTCGGGTCAGATCATATTCGGTTCATGGTCTATCGAGTTCAGGTCATATATGGGTCGGGTCAACTCCAGCTCGATTCATGTTCGGTTCGGATAAATTCGAACTGGGTTCAAACGGGTTTGATCGATTAATTTTGGGTCAAATGAATTTGGGTCGGGTTGATTTCGGTTCGGTCAAGTTCGATTTGATTAAGATAAGGTTGATTCAATATTTGGTCGATTCCGATTCAAATCCTTTTCGTGTTTGTCTAGATTTTGGTCGAGTTAAAAAAATTCAATTTCCAAATAAGGTCATTTTTAAACTAGAGTAATTATTGAATTTTTACCTTATTATTGGGTGAATATCAAGTCATTCATGTGTCATTTCTCATATTGCATGGTTAATTATTACGAAATGCGAAGAATTAGTTTTGTCATTCAATCAATTCTTGTGTATTATTTATTTTTGAGCCAAATTTATATTGAATTACTATTGATGACTTATCATACCTACGTACATATATAAGTGAGACGATTAGTATTGAACTAGTGATAGACTGATAGATGATAGTCACATATGGTGATATAAAAAAAGAATGTCCTCTTTTTAAGGTACTACTCTTCAATTGTTTAATCTCATGAGGCTACGAATACTATTAGTTTGCTTTATTACTAATTCCATTTTTATAAGATATTTGTTAGAGTTTTAGACATTCTAACTTATTAATAATTAGTAAATTTGTAAATATATAGTAGAATAAGAACTTGAAAAAAAGGTCAATAATAGGTTAGGTTTAAAATTATGGCCGGGTTAAAATCGGATCGGGTTAAATTAGATCGGTTTAAAACTGGATCAAGTTAATATCAGTTCGGGTAAAACATATCGGATTAAATCAGTTATTTGTCGGGTCATTTTCGTTTCGGGTTGAGTTCAAGTTGGGTCAAATCAGTTTGGTTTGAGTTCAAGTTGGGTCATACTGATACGTGTCGTTTACCGTATAAAATTAAATTTTATTTTCCTAACTTAACCTTCAAAAATATTAACAACTAGTAAAAGGGTAAACAAGGGTCGATCCCACGAGGAGACTTTTAACTCTTAAATCAACGTTTAACTAAATTACGATATATTACGGAAATATACATAGTATACATTTATTCACATATGTAATAAAATGGGGGGTTTGTTTAAGATAATACTAAACTAATAAAACTAATACGGAACTAAACTAATAAGCTACTATTGACGACACAATGCAACTAACCATTCCATTAAATAGCTCTTACATGATTTAGTTTATTGGCAATAACATACAATTCACCTTGAGTACCACCAATTATAATTACTAGACTAACTGTAGAGCCTAAGATAACAAAGACTCCCTATATATCATCCCTTAATTTTAGTCAATTACGAACTAAGCCAAATTGACTCTAAACCATTCTAACTTATACAAATATGATCGCAACTCATATAATTTAGAAGTGGAAGCATTATAAACTAGGAGACATCATTAGTCCTAATTATTCTAATGACATAAATGCTTAAAATAATTAGATTGATCATGAACTTACTCTCTAATCTAAATAAAACCATAATCGCAAATCTCATATAAATTAGGTGTCACTTGACTATATGATTTAAACTAACAACCATTCACACACTAGTAACATGTATAATCGTAATTTAATCAATGAATTACAAGCAAGTTCAAATAATAATTAAACAAAACTGAAAAATGACTTAAACTAAAATATAATCAAATGTAATACCAATAATCCCATCAAGTTTTTCATCAAATGATCAAAATAATTCAAACAAGAAGTAATATGAACAATAGAGTTAAGAAGAAGACTTTGAATTATACTCCCAAGAATTGTTGAATAAACCCGGCTTCAAATTATACTCCCAAGAATTGTTGAATAAACCCGGCTTCGACCCCGAATTCACCGTCGTTCTTGTTCTACCTTGGATTCGAGACCAAGCTTCCCTCCAACGGCTATCTTCTCTTCACCAATTGCCCAATTCACGAACTCACTCAAATTACTTTGTAGTTGGTATATTTCGGCTAGGTTGTGTGTGTGTTTTTTTTTGTGGGATAATTGGGCTATACTTATATACCCAATTGTATAACTGATTTTCACGAATTTTCCTCTGCCAAACTGTATCTTGTATATAAGATAAATCTGGTGTCTTCATCACATTATACATCCGAAAATTTGGATAGAATTTACGAGAATTTGGGTATTTGGATGATTACCCTTTAGCCCTAGGGTGTTTCTTCGGTTTCATCGCCACAGGCTTTCTGCTTCTGTTCTTATCTTCTCATTGTTGCTTTCCTCATTCTTTAATTGTTTTGATGTTGCTTTCCTCCTTCAGTAGCGCACGTGCTACTTCTTTTATTTTTTTTATTTTTATTATTTTACTTGTTGGCTTGCTGGTTTGTTGAGATATTTCGTGCTGCTTGCCTTCAATTATTCGACTTGATGACTAATCCAATTTATCGTACCAAAAACACACAACATAAAATTAAGTATCAATTATTATAAAAATAATGAATAAAATAAAATAATGAATAAAATAAAATCTAAAATAATAAAAGTAAATAAAATCATAATTTAACCAATATAAAGAGACCATTGGACTAATATTAAGGACTAAAAATATAGTATATTATGCACTTATCACATATCGGGTTCGGGTTGAGTTCAAGTCGGGTGAAATTGGTGTTGGGTTAAGTTCAGATCGGTTAAATTCGGATCCGGATTAAGTTCAGGTTGGTTACATATTGGATTTGGGTCCTGAATTTCTCACTAATTGAAAAAATGAAATAGGCATCGCACAATGCGCACCGGTTTTTGAAAACCGGTGCTAAAAAAAATAGGCGGGATTGGGAAATAGAGTTTTCGCACCGGTTCCAACCAAGGTTCAAACCGGTGCGAATTTAAAAAAAAAAAAAAAAAAAACCGGTTCAACCCTAACATTTTCTAAACCCTTTATACTCCCTCAGCCCCTCTCTCTCTCTCTCTCATAATCCGCCTCTCTATTTCTTCTCTCCTTCTCTCTCTTCTCTCCTTCTCTGTAATCTCTCGTTCTTCTCTTCTTCTCTCTCATCTATCCTTCTTCTCTGATCTCTCATCTTCTTCTTCCTCATATATTCTCTCATCTTCTTCTTCTTCCTAATCTGTTCTCTCTTCCTCATTTTCGAAACCTTAATCGAAGTTTTGAAACCATCGCTGCCGCCGTTCATGCAAGCACCAGCCGATGTTCTTCTCTCTGTTAATTATTAGAAAATAAAAAATTTGAGGTTAGGGTTTCTGGGTTCGTAATACTTTTTTTTTTTTTGAGAAATTCTGGGTTCGTAACTAACCCTTACATTTTTGGTGTTTTAATTGGTGCAGGTAGTATTCCTCCAAAAAAAAAAAAATTACAACTGCAGCGACTATAGACGAAGGATTCAAGATTCAAGTTTGTTGTTCATTGTTACGTTTTTTTTTTTTTTTTTTTTTTATTGTAAAATAACAATTTATTTGATGCATATATATATATATATATATATATATATATATATATATATATATATATATATATATATATATATATATATATATATATATATATTCATGTATATTACGATTTTGGTGTACATGGTTGTTCATTTTTTTTCCGTGATTAATGTATATTAATACGTACTTTTTGGGTTTTGTTTTATTGTATGCTGATTTTGAAGTGAAAAAATTGCAATTTTTTTAATTTTTTTTTATTTTTTGACGGCATAATAGGCACCGGTTAACCGTGCCAATTGTAGTTAAAACCAAAAAAAAAATAAGCGCGGCACTTACTTTTAGCACCGGTTAACCGATGCGAAATCTCTTGGTTTTTGGCATCCCTCAAATCAGGATCGGTTCAAAATTGGTGCTAAATGGGGGTTTTGAACCGGTGCTGATTACCATTTTTTGCCTAGTTTTCTCGGGTCAAATCGGATTGGTTACAGTTCAAAACAGATGATTTTTTTAGACCGGTTAGGATTTGACACCTCTACTCATAGCCCAGCCTCCCTTGTAGACTTCGCTCCCCCCACCCCATTGACGTTTCAACGGCTTTAAGCTCGCCGGTGACCACCTCCCCTCCATAGGTCGCCAGCGCGAGCTTTTCTTCTTTTAGAGGGCAGCTCGGAGTTTAGTTGACTCCGATTTTTCCTTGAAGATCCGTGGGTGGCCGCCGTCACTAGGTGCTCTATAAGTAGTCTTTCCATTGAATCTATCTCCCTTTGTTCGCTTCTGAGTCTACATCATCACTGCATGCTTGCTTGTCCAGTTTTAGCTTGCTGTATTTTAATTAGATCTTGCTGTTTAGGTAATTTTAAAGTATGAGGGAATTTTCAAGTTTAGGACCTTTAATGTTGCATCACCTAGATCAGTTAGAGGAGGATGATACTGATGTTGAGAAAATGTTTGAGGAAACCAATTGTTTGGGGTAAAATT